GTAATGAACCACACGGGCGAACGTCCCTATAAGTCAGTCCATCCAGTGATTTGTTATTGATTTGCATTGTATTTAACCGATTGTTGATCACATACGCTGTGGACAGGTGTACGTGGCCGGGCTGTGAAGCTAACTTCACGTCATCCGATTGTCTGCGATCTCACCAGAAGTCTCACAGCAATAACCGTCCGTATAGGGTATGGCTCTTACGCTCCAGTGTTTAGTGACAAATAGAGTATTAATTATTTTTATTTACTTATTTCCGTACAGTGCGATTGGCCGGGTATGTCATACGATAGTTATATTTACGCCATAGTTATCATTGAAACCCTAACCGACCGCTGATTGTGTGTTAAAGGGTGCGACTCGGCGTTCAAAGCGAACCGCGCGCTCACCATTCATAAGGTGATCCACACGAACGAGAAGGTGTTCCGCTGCATATGGGAGGGCTGCGACTTCCGGTGCAACCGCTACCACATACTGGCCACCCATAGGCTCAGCCACACGGGCGGCAAGAAGTTCGGGTGCAGTTGGCCGGGCTGTGAGTCCAAGTTTGATAGGCGTAACAAANGCAAGAAGTTCGGGTGCAGTTGGCCGGGCTGTGAGTCCAAGTTTGATAGGCGTAACAAATTGGAGATGCATTTAATGATACACAGGGGCGACAAACCGCACAAATGCGAGTGGCCTGGCTGTGAGAAACGGTTTGTCGAGAAGGGCAATATGCGTAAGCATTATAATAGTGTTCACGCCAAGGCCTGACCCCTGGCCCGGCAATCCCTGGCCGGTTAGCTAACGTTTGTTTTGGTTGAGCGTATTTTTTGGTCCAATTGTTTGTGTTTTTCATTTATTTATTACTTTTTTTAATTGAATTTAATATAATTTATATGATTTGCTGCCGGAGTCGTGTGTATAGTATCTGATAGCAAACAAAACGCCAAAACCAGTCGTGAGTTTTAATTGTGTTTTATTGAAATCGTTGACAAAACAAAACATTTGTTTTATGTAACGGTGAAGTAATTCTGATGGTAATTGTATTTTACTTAACCCCAGGTTCACTTTTCAATTGATTTTAAATCGTATTTTTTTAAGCACACA